ACTTAAAAGCCTTTAATCTTCTCAAAAAACGACAGTGTTCCTTATAATCCGGAGCGCCTTATATATGGATCATCATTTTATACGGTAGGGGGCGGTAAAACTCCTAAGCGGTGAGCAGCCGGTAACAAGAAGTAGACGAATGAGAACGTCCTCGTCTCAGTTCTCGCGCATGCGCCCATAAGGAAGTAATGGAATAATAGTGGAATAAAGTCGTTATTTATGTTTTGTTCGCACAAAAAGTAGTCTCGTCGCTTGATAAACGTATAATTGAGGCAGTCTAGGACTGATCCAGCTCTCAGATTCAATCAAAAATATCTTTATTTGTGTTCCGAAGATGAACGAAGGTCTTACGGGGTTGGAACAGCATGGGGGTGAGTAATTAATGACTTAATTTTCATTTTTGGGTGAACTAACCCTTCAAGGCTAAAAATAGCTCCTAACTGGCGAATTTAGGAGCAACTCCTAAAAATAAAGGGCGTATCACTCCTAACTTTAGGACTCCTATTTTTTTCACTAAGAGTAATTCACAAAGCATTTTAGCCCTAAAAGTAGCACCTAAGTCTGGGACAGCTTAAATGCTTAGTTTTGCGTGATATCCCAGTGCCAAATTTCCCTTTTATTATGTTTTATTTTCTATTACTAACTGGGCCAACAGCAACTGATCCTGCGTCCAGTGTTTGTGAGTTCTTCAATATTACTTCAATATGAGCAACCTTTCCTTGTTTTAAGTAGTTTATTTAGGCTAATAGGATGTTAATTAACCAAGCAAGTGTTAATGCAAGTGTCGTTTTCTTCATTATTTTCATTAGGGTATTATTAAGCTACCTTGATTTAATTTAATTCACAACTTTTCTCTCTCTCTCTGCTTTTTTAGAATTACACTTCCCTGTGGCCTGCACAAATATGCATTTTGATGACATTACTTTTACACTGCAAAAAATCGACATACAAAAATAAGAAAAAAAATTAAATTAAGAAAAAAAAACTAAAAACAAGCAAAATTATCTGCCAATGGGGTGAGAAAATTTTACTTGATAAGACTTCTTGAAACAAGACAAATAAACTTAAATTTAAATTTAATTTTAGATATGTTAACTTGATTCAAGCAGTAAAAATATCTTGAAACCAATGCAAAAATAGTAAAATCTAGTATTTTTTTCTTGTTTTGTTTGTGGTTAGTTGTAAATACTCTTGGTGAAAATATCTTGATATAAGACTATATATACATATTTTAAGGGTTTCAGGCTTATTTTTAGAGAAAGGTTTGTTTTTAATTATCTTGATTAAAGAATATATACACATTTTAAGGGTTTCAGGCTTATTTTGAGAGAAAAGTTTGGTTTAAATTATCTTAATATAAGAATATATACACATTGTAAGGGTTTCGAGCTTATTTTTAGGGACAGGTTTGGTTTAAAATATCTTGATATAAGAATATATATACACATTTTAAGGGTTTCAGGTTTATTTTGAGAGAAAAGTTTGGTTTAAATGATCTTGATATAAGAATATATACACATTGTAAGGGTTTCGAGCTTATTTTTAGGGACAGGTTTGGTTTAAAATATCTTGATATAAGAATATATATACACATTTTAAGGGTTTCGGGCTTATTTTTAGGGAAAGGTTTGGTTTAAAATAACTTGATTTAAGAATATATATATACATTATAAGAGTGTCAGGCTTATTTTGAATGAAAGGTTTGGTTTAAAATAAGTATTTAAAGTGTTAAAATAAGTAACTAAGAACTAACATGGATGTCTCAATCGAGACTATTTCTAAAAATAAGCTCTGAAACGGAGATACATTTAATAAATCCGGTACAACAATCATGCTCTTAATATTGCTTTATTAACTCCAAATGCAAAAGGAAAGCAAACGATTGTTGCAAAAATTACAGCGATGCATCACATCACAGCAGTTGGTAAGCATATTAAAACAAAGCTGTAAAATTCAATTAGTAAACTTGAAAAAAGCATGCAAACCAATTGCCTTGAAAAAAACTGAGTAAAGTGAAATAGGAATGTGCATGTCTAGTAGTGTACACTTACATGAGAGCTCCAGTAACTTAAAACTAATTTCATTTAGTTTAGATGTATTAATTTATGCTAGTTGAGTTTACTTTACTTCAAAAGCAATCCAGTTTACTTGTTAAAACCACGCAAACTGATTGCCTTAAAATAGCAAGTAAGCTTTACTCTAATAAATTAAGTAATAATGTTAGTTAATAATAATGTTCATGTTAGTTCACAGTGCATTAACTAATGTTAACCAATACAATCATTGGTTTTAATGTTTTAGGAAATGTTTAACTAATTAACCTTATTGTAAGTGTTACCCAAAAACATTTAAGTACAACAACATATTAGGGATGGGACGGTATGAAAATTTCATATCACGATTATAGTGTCCAAAATAATCGTGATTATCAATATTATCACGGTTTTGTTAAAAATGTATGAAAGTGCTCAAAAAGAACTGATGCTCACACTGAAAACATTTCAACAAGTTTTATAATTGAAAATCAACAAACAACAAATAAAACAAGCCTCTCTATGCAGTTTTTAAGCAAGATTCTAGACCCTTTTACAGTTGGTAAACATGGTGACGTTTTTTTGTGGGCGGAGCTTAGGTGGAGGCAGAAAGATCCGTCAGGCCGCTTCACTAACGCTAGTTAGCAAGGATTGTTAGCTTGTTTTTTAACAATGACTGGAGAAAATCCGATATTATCTTAATGTGTAAGCTCACTCACTGTCCAGGACTGTGATTGTTATTTCCAAAAGTTATTTTTAATAGTTTTTTGTAAAACCCAAAATGACCACACCTCAGATTTGGTCCTGTTAAAAGGCTGAAAAATCTCCTGAGCACGGTCACTGCCTTCCACCATTCCTTCTCGAATAGTAATTTAAAAAAATATTGCGTGCTGCGCGCCTGCGTCAGACTGGCCGACAGGATTCAGTGAGTTATTAAAATCACGATAATCAAACACGGTTTTAATGATAATTAAATTTTAAACGATAATACTAACCGTCAGTACATTTTATCACGGTTTATCGTGAAACCGGTTATCGCCCCATCCCTACAACATATTTTTTAAAATATAAAATCTGAATAAAAATAAATATATTTGAGACCATACCCTGACTAACACATCCTCAACAAACAGTAATTCAATAAATAACAATTAATCACTTTAATCAATAACACTTCGGAGACCAAACTTGGTATATAAAATTGGAAAAAATTAAACAATGGAAAAGCAATGTCTCTGTCACACATGTACATTAGAAATGAATATGCCGACAGCATCTTAAAGGGATAGTTCACCCGAAAAACTTCTGTCAGTAATTACTCGCCCTCATGCCGTTCCAAACCCCTAAGACATTCGTTCATCTTCGGAACACAAATAAAGATATTTTTGATGAAATCTGAGAGCTTTCGGTCCCTCCATTGACTACAACGTCATTGCAAATTAATAAAAATAATCCAACTAATGGGTTGATGTAGTGTAAACAGCCCAGTGCTTCTGGGTTCTACAGACATTATTCAGACATTCATTCTTCCGAACGCTCTCTCACTATTGGCCAACGCTAGTCATGTGTGATGCTGGCCAATAATAAGCCTACGCTCTGACGTAGAACCAGAAGCACTGGGCTGTTTACACTACATCAACAGTGTAGGAGAATGACAGTGAAGAGAAGAGATCATAATATTACTCATAAAGATCATAAAGAGACTCGCTTCATAATATTAAAGGGCACCTATTATGGAAAATTCACTTTTACATGGTGTTTGAACATAAATGTGTGTTGGCAGTGTGTGAGCAAAACCACCCTAGAATGATAAAAATCCATCCAGTAGTTTTTTTACAATCTCAATAAATCATCTGCACTGCCTCAGAACGAGCTGTTCTGAGATCCAGGTCTTTGTGACGTAGAACGGGAGACAGGGGGTTGATTGACAGTGTGGCTGTGGCATAGACCCCGCCCTCGGTGATCTGTACACACCATCCTTCATTGTTTCAACGACGACAGCCGACGTCTCTTGGAAACGTAAATTAATGTTCTGTCGTGGACTCGTGGGTTAATCCTGTTGTTGTGGCTTAAAAGTTAATCCTCAACTGTGGATCGTCGTCTACTGTTTGCGATCCACCGTCACCTCCAGTAACAGTAAGTGTATTTTATGATTTTTGAGCAAATAGTCTTTTCAGTCAATGTCAGCCAATTCAACAACAAATGCGTCTAAAGTTATTGCCGTCGTAGGATGTCTGTGTATATAATTTAAAACCTTGTTTGTATAGTGTGTAACCACACGTTTATAAATATATATATTTTTAAATATATTGTATTAAAAACTGCATATATGTTGGTGTTCTGTAAGTTAGCCATCTTCTCACATTTGCCACAGAAGCACCTGTATGACAAGTAAACATGACGCCACAGGTCCATCGCATAAATGTAATTTCGCTCGTACGTAGCAAACTTTATCACAGAATGTGTATGTAGTTTCAAAAACTTGCGCTAGTGTCTGTGTGTGTGTGTGTGTGTGTTGGACATCCATCATTTCAAATGGGACGCTATTACAACTCTAAAGTACATAAAAGTAGCAAATAACCATACCGAGACGTACTGGTCCATTCTCATATGTTTATTCTGCCGGAGTCTCTTCATGCTATTTATATATTCCGATTCAAACGTACGGCTGAATGACATTCAAAACGGCGCGTCTCTTCACTCTCTCAGTACCGACTGCCTGCCATAGGTATCAAGTTACGCCCTCATCCAAAGGCAGGGCGGGGATATGCAGCTCATTTGCATTTAAGGTGGAATACCCCCTGAAACAGCTCATTTTTAAGCAGGCCCCAAAATGACATTTTCAAATGGTTATAATAAATTAACTGTGGGGTATTTTGAGCTGAAACTTCACAAATACATTCTGGGGACACCTGAGACCAATATTACATCTTGTAAAAAGGGGCATAATAGGTGCCCTTTAAGGCTGAACTACTGTAGTCACATGGACTATTTTTACAATGTTTTTACTACCTTTCTGGGCCTTGAAACTTGCAATGATGTTGTGGTCATGACATTTTGCCATGATAGTGAGTTGCTAAAGGCTATGCCTGGGTTTATCGTTATGATCTAATAGCATGATACTGGGTGACCAATGGTTCAGCCTAGGCATCTAGCACTTTAAAGCCCAAGAAAGGTAAGAAAGACAAAGTAATTTTTCAGAGATTGCCGTTTTGTTGGGAGTTTGTTTTGTCCCAAACCAAGCATCAATTTCTGAATGAAGTTAAAAGTGTTTATTTCTTTTGCGAAATCCAAATTTAAAGCATAAGACTGACCAAAATAGATGCAAATTGCCTGAGGCAGGTTCTACAGATTATCCATTACAATACCTCTCTCAACAATGATGGCAGTAGACAGAGAGTTAGAGAGAGAGAAGTTCTTCATCAATGACAGTCCCCAACAGATACTTGTGCCCAGGCTTCATCAACATCACATACCTGAATGAAACCAAACAACAAAAAAATATTACAACAGGGAAAAGTGAAAAGGCATGAATAATCATCATTTAGCTGCCCTGCATACACTGCCTTTAATCCATGTATTAGTTTATATCATTTATCTTTTTTTTTCTTTTTATTACGACTCTTAATGGGATAGTTTACCCAAAAATGAAATTAAGCCCATGATTTACTCTTCCTTAAGCAGGGCTGGGCGATAAAACGATAATTATCATAATATTTTTTCTTGATAAAACGATATCAAGAGTTTAATTAATGTTTGTGCGCCAAAAGCTGAACAAAACCCATTTGAACCGCGCGCCACACGCACCATTTATCCACTCAGCTCAAAGTCCAAATGGCAGCGCAAGTTCACTAGAGCAGAGGCGTTTACTCTGATCGTCTCGCTCACGAGATCCAGTGAGAAGCGCTTGAATTCAGTGGAGAACGCACGTCTCAGTTATTTAAACCAATTTAAAGGCAGATGAAACAACACTGACAAACAGGAGAAACACTGTGCGCAGAATACAGGCGGAATCTGAGGGATACTCCACTTTTTTTGGAAATATGCTTATTTTACAACTCCCCCAGAGTTACATTCGAAAACGGTGAAACTCAACTGTTTAACTCTGGGTGAGTTGTAAAATGAGCCTATTTCAAAAAAAATTGGACTATCCCTTTAAGTGGAGAAGTGACTATTAAGATTACAGTTAAAGGGTTTATCAACAAAACAACACAACACTTAAGTAAACAGCTAGATAGATCGTAAGCAAAACTATGATCAACTCAGAATAATAATAAAAAAATGAAGGCGGCGCCGCGGCAGTAAACTCACCTCTGTATTAATTTGCTGCATAAGCCCATCCAATTTCTCTCCAATGCTTCTTGAAGACTTGAAGATTGTGACAAAGTGTGGTGTGTAGAGATCCACAGCACCATTAAAGTTACTCTGCTGTCTGCAGATCTGTGGTGACTATCCTGTCAAACTCTGCAAACACCTATAACACAGGCACACACACACACACACACAAGGCATGGGACAGTGTGGACATTGTTCAATGCATGGTCAGGCCTACAGGCCAATTCTAAAGCAAACCTAAACAGAATGTGGTTTCTCATTGTGGAAAACGGGATATGCATAAGTACTTAACTTACTTGTCTCTCTGTAAAAAGAGCTCCACTGCTCCATCTGCCCACAATCTCATGTCTTCGCATTGAGAAGGTCTGCTCCATCTTTGATGCAATGAGAGGTTCCACTAAGATAACATCAGTAGGGATAACATCACTTAACATTAAGTTTTTCATATTGTTAAAAAATGGCTCATTTTATCAGCAATGATAAAGCAGTTTGAGAAAAGAGTTTGAGAAAATAAAATCACTTTTACATTGCATGCTTCACATTCTGAATTTACTTTATTTAAAAATCAAGTATAAAGTATAATTATAGAGTATAATGCCGTTGTGAAATCACAATAATAATTCTTACATTTAGGACAAATAAATCGTTTTTTAGGCATTCAGGAGCTGTTAAGTTAACTTAGCTACCAGAAAAAAAACAGGCCACACCAAGGCATATTCTTCAAGCTCCTAATATCAGAATTAGTTGGTCCACATTAGTTGCAGACCAGTAAAATATATCGACATACAGTAAAAAAATCATTCACACAAAAGTCGCAAGCTTGATTTGATTACTCACCTTATTATTAACTTACTCTAAAAACGTAGCGAGGCTCCAGATAAAAATGTAGTCAGTCTGTCAACGAACGTTAGTTTCCACATCTGCAAAATTGGCGCCTATCGAGCATGCTCTCACGTCACGACGAGTGCCGCTTCTTCTTCTTTGTTTTTTTTCTTCTGCGCATTAGGCACGCTTTAATGCAGTGCTGCCTCTCACTGGTTTAGTAACGTCATTGCGTCCTTTATTGTTACTTGCTTGTAAAACCTAGTAAAAATGATGTATTTTTTATTTCTGAGTAAAGTTAACACATACAACAAGGTTACACATACATCACTGAGAAATTGAATAAAATAATAAAATAAAGTATAAATAATATATATATATAAAATAAAGAGAGCAATTATTTTAAATTATTGTAATTTAAGCAACTGCCGTCTATAAGAACCTGATGAAAACAACTGCTGTCAACAATTAGTGATCAAAAGACCTTTGCTAACTTTTTCACTACTTCACTACTTTTTCCCCAATTAACTTAAAAATGAAAATTTCCTGATAATTTACTCACCCAAAATGCCATCCAAGATGTGTGTCTTTTCAGTGGAAATTTTCAGTGGATGTTAATTAGATTTGATTGGTAGATTTGATTCAACATTTTGGTTGCCATTCAAGTCCATTGTGTGTAGAAAAATCCTAAAATGTTTTCCTCAAAAAAGTTAATTTCCTTTCCACTGAAGAAAGAAAGACATGAACATCTTGGATGGCAGTGGGGTGAGTAAATTATCAGGAAATTTTCATTTTGGGGGGAAAAATCTTTTAAAATGAAGTTACTGCTAGGTTGATGTACAAGATATTGACAGTTGTCAGCACTGAAAAAAATGTTATGGTCCAAACTAAATAATGTTTAATTCACTGAATTGGCTTTATCACTCTCTCTCTCTCTCTCCTCTCCACTAGTGTGTGGTGAGCACACTGGTGCTGTGGCTGCCGTCGCATCATCCCAGTAGATGATGAACACTGGTGGTGGTTGAGGAGAGATCCCCTGACATGATTGCAAAGCACTTTGGGTGGACAGTAGTTCATATGAAAGCGCTAAAAGCCTCATGCATTCATTCAATGTAAAGTTGGAAACAATTTAAAATATATATATATATTTGTGTCTGAATGTGCTAACATTGTTTTCTAAAAATAAGAAACATTGTGCTCTTAAAATAAGAACATATGTCTTGAAATTGGAATTGGACACATTGGAGTGTGTCAAAATATACCATTCACTTTAAAAAGATACTTAATTAAATGAAAGAAATCACCAAAATTGGCATTTTTTTCTAAGTAAGAAAATTTAAGTAAAATTTTCTCAAAACAAGCAAAATAATCTTTGGCTTTTAGTTCTAGGCTAGTTAATTTATCTTAGAAGAAAAAAAAAGAAGAATTCTTGCCTTATTTTAAGATTTTTTAACTCGGCAAGATTTCATTTTTTGCAGTGTAACCCTGTCTGCCACATGCTGCCTGTGACGTAACTCTGAAACCAACCTACTACTGTAAACGTATGTAATGTTGTAGTACATGATCTGCCATCCACTGGCAGTGCAAGAAAAGTTGGACGTGCACTTGTGGTGCCAAAGTCACACCGCTTGTTGCAACTCGCTTGTTGGATTAACTGGCTGGCCCAAACCCAACATTTGACTTTAAAACCCAAACCTGTTCTAAGGTTTAGTGTTTGTTGATGAACTTGCTGATACCTGCCAAATTCCCCATGGTCTATAGGATAAAGGCCCAGGTCTGGCAGAAAAAAAACGAAACCATTAAGAGAGGATCTTCTTTGGCTAGGAGCGGGATAGAAACCCATGTATCATCGTTTGAATCCAAAACCCTTTCAGCAACTAAACCTTTCTGCTCAAAGGCTCCCAATGGATATGGAATTGCACAGAAAAAAATCTTCACCTTAAAGGGATACTTCACTTTTTTGGGAAGTAGGCTTATTTTACAACTCCCTCAGGGTTAAACGTTTGAGTTTTACCGTTTTCTAATCAATTCAGCCGATTTTCTGGTATTTAGAAGAATATCAGTAACCAGACAGTTTCTGGTCTCATTGACTTCCATAGTAGGAAAAATATATACTATGGAAGTCAATGAGACCATAACTGCGGTGGTTACTGATATTCTTCTAAATACCAGAAAATCAGCTGAATGGATTAGAAAACGGTAAAACTCAAACGTTTAACCCTGAGGGAGTTGTAAAATAAGCCTCTTTCCCCCAAAAAATGGAGTATCCCTTTAAAGAAGAAGCTTTTTGTGCTGGAAAACAGCATTTTGAGGTGATTGTGTGTTGGTTTAAAATGTGTATTTCAAAAATAAGTAATGTGACTGGTTTTATTTTCTGTGAAAATCACTCTTAAATAACAATGACCTGCACCCCACGCTGCGAAAAACATACAAGTTACAGTGTCTCCAAAGTTGATGCAGGCACTGATCAGGACAATCATATTCTTCTTCTCCATTCATCCATGATTTATTGTGGACAGACAATCAGGTAATAAGGCCATGTGGATAATGAACACGCAAGCCTTAGAGGCAATCTGGAAAGTCCCCGAAGGCAAATACGGGAAGAATCTCAACAATGTCGTATGAGAAAATGGAATGCTATGCATGTCAATGCAGTCTCTTTGTCTTGAGTTTGAACTCTGGAGCTGAGGAGGAACCTGTGGTCCAGAATTAAAACATCTCTCTGCCTGATTCTGCTGTTTAAGGGCCGAAAGGGAACTAACATCAGAATGGATATTTCCCAAACTGACAAATTAAGACAACCACAAATGTTATTTCATTGTGTTGCCTTGCCTTCTCGTAAAATTATTTCACGGAATTATGGATTTTACAAGATTGCTCACTACTGCACTATGTTGGCCTGTTTTCTATGTATGTCTGATTGTTAAATAAAAAAAAAATTTAAAAAAAATTATTTCACGTGTAGTCATTACTCGTTGCATTCTTGAGGAATTTAAGGGAACTAGGGATTTTAGTAATGCTTCCCTGATTAATCATTTACTAAAACATTCAGTGAAGATAGTGTGTGGTTTTGCGAATGCAGTTTCATTGTTCTTTTTCTACTTTTCTAAATCAATCCTTGTCCCATTTTAAAATCCCCTGGTGGCTAGTAACATGTCATAATTTAACAACAGTGTAACGGCTGCCAATGCATGTTGGTACATTTGCTTTCACACTTTGAGGAAAACTCTAAGTGAAAATAAGCGTGTATGTAACATAGATTTGTAAATGAGTCTGGATGGGCACCTGAAATATACACCATTGGACTGGCTGAGACAAAAAGAAAGGCTATGTTTGGAATATTTGCAACTATAAACATTTCAGCTACACTTGGCCAAATGGCTAGACAAAGAGCCTTATAGGGGGCCACAGTGTAATGGTGAATGAAACTCAGTGTGTGAATTTGAAGTGGTGGTAGTGCTGTTGAAAGAATAATTATATCACAATTTCAATCAATGAGTCACTAAAAGTGCATTATTACTAGTTGCTGAGTGCTGCTTATGCCCACCCCGGGAGTGATCTCCAGAGTCCTCTGTCCTTGACCATTCTTTCCAACTGGTTCCAAGTATCCGATCTTGTTGATTGTCAGCCTCAAGGTCACGTCACCAGGTGTTTCTTGGATGGCCTCTTATGTGCTTTCCTTGGGGGGTTCCACTTCAATGCCTATTGCTGTTGGTTGGCACCTTGGTGGATTACGAAGGTTGTGCTAACACAGTCTCATCCCAAGACGTCATACAGCTGACCATACGTCAACATCCGCCTTTTAAGGGTACCCTTAAACGTCGGTTAGATGACGATCCCGCGCCATCATACAACTGACGCTTCACCTTTAACGTTGGTTAGGTGACTGGGTAGGTTTAGGTCTGGGCAGAGAAAGTCTAATTGAAGAGAATTGACACTGGCTGGTTACTTCCAGGTTCTGGACTGTCTGCAGTAACACGTCTCTGTCCATGCGGGGGCGCTCGCGGTCGAGTGCAGAATGAATGGGAGTCAATGGGGTTTCACCCCCAGAAATCCACTTTTCTCAGGATGTAATTTTTTGTCAAGTAATTTTAAAGTTGCATTCAAAGGGGAGGGCTAAGATAATACACTGAAAATTGAATTTTTAAGTTCACTTCTGTTCTAAAAATCCATTCAAAACTGTGATGACGTCACACAATAGCAGAATGGTAGCGTGTTCGGGCCAACAACGGCCTAACCTGTAAGAAATCAAAAGGACATAAGTACTCGTTCATTCGACTTTTGGTCTATAATCTATATTGAACTTGCGGAATCAACAATAAAATCTATGTTGATTTAACGACAAGCAGGTGAAAGAGACACTTTTAGCCGTTTAGCCCCATAGACTCCCATTCATTCTGCACTCCAGTGGAATTCTAATGGAACTGCAACCAAGATGATACACAACGGGGCTAATAGGAAGTGCCAAGGCTCTCCGTTAGATGGGCTCTTGTCTGGGGTAGGGTTAGGATCTGATAACGTCATCTTACCGACGTTAAAGGGTACCCTAAAAAGGCGGATGTTGACGTATGGTCAAAAGACGTCCCAAGACGTCAGTTATATGACGTCTTGTGCCCCTATCTTCTCTAAATGATTTCTTCTTCAGCTGGGAATTGGTGTATTCTTTCCCAAAGATTGGTATTGCTGGTGGTGTCAGGCCAGCGGATCTGGAGAATACTTCCGAGACAGAAGATTGGGACCTTCCTAATGGTCATCTCGGGGTTTCAGCTCAACACTGACTTCATGTAGAGTTGAATAGGCGGATCTTTGCTGCCAAGGTCATATCTCTGGAGCTCCAGATGCTGTATAGGCCACACTTGCTTTGCCAATCCTTGCCTTGACATTTGCATCTGTGCCGCCCTGTTGGTTAATGATTTTGTGCAGGTAGGTGAAGGACTGGACTTCATCCAGGGGACTTCCATTCATAATGAATGGATCCCTGCTTGTGGATTTTATCTTGAGAATCTTGATCTTATCTCTGTTAAAGTTGAAGCCAATCTGAGATAAAATAGTTGCTTGCTGAATGTACATGGGTTTTATACACTCCTTATTGTGGTGCATTATGGAATTGAATGTTAACAGGA